TGTTAATTATTACAGGCTGTTTATACAAACCTTGAATTTATAGATGGAGGGACAGTTTTTCAATATAAATAATGCAATATTATCTTCTCCTTCCCTCTTCTGTTATTTACTCCTTAGATACCAAGTGGTTATGCAAACAACTTCAGAAGAGAAAAGGAAAATGGATAAAAATGTGCAGTATCTTCTGGAACTAATATTTACTCATCTTGAGACTGTTGAGGTAACTCATGCTATTATATACTACTGAAACTCTCAGTGTGTACCCTTTAAGTGGCTGAAAGTTGTATCAGGGCAGGGTTTTTTTTTTCAATCAAAGTACCTCTTATGGGCTAATTTACAAAACACAGGGCCTCTCCTTCCAAAAAAGAGAGTGAAATTTAGGAAAGTTGTAGCTATTTCACTGCTGCCAGGCGGCGGCTTCTCCTTCAGCACTGCTATCACACTGATCTCCACTCTCAAACTATCCCTTTCACTTACTTCAGGCTTCTTTATACATCTTTCTCCTCATTTCTCAATTCAATGGACAGGGGAGAGAAAGATAAACATTCATGTGTTACAAGAAAAAGGAAAGCTGGGCAGGGAGAACAATCCTTTAACAATGGAAGTACTTGAGAGATTTTGAGAAACAAATGGATCAGACATCGAACCAATTCAGTGACCCATCTCTCTTGATTCCTTAAGCAAGGCTGAGGATCTCTCTTTTTTTCTCCCATAGATGGACCATAACACAGAGGACCCAGTTGTTCCCCTTAAATCCAGTTGATTATTGCCCATCAAAGAGCCAGCCTAGAGAAAACCATTTAGCACTTTCCTCAAAGTCTTAAGTTCTAGCTAATCATATTGGGAAAGACAAAATTCCCATACAGAAACAGCAACCTTCCTCCCACTTTCCCAGAAATATTTAAATAAATTCTAAAGGTGGTTGGATTCAAATGTATTTTCTTACAGTTTCTCTAATTTCTATTATGAGTAGAGCAGGAAAGAAGACACTTTAAATCATCATTTAAATCCCCCTTCCCTACAACATAGAAGGAAAAAGGGGCCAGGACAAGAAATCTTCCCTACGATTCTTCATGCCCCCAAATGCATAAGTAATTACAAAAATAAAATAAATAAAATGATGAAGCCTGTAATCCAGCTCCACCAACCAGTATAGGTTGCGCTGTACAATGGCACAGAAAATTTAGACAAATTCATGCCATCCCAAAT